CATGAAGGCTGCGACAGTGATTTGTCAGCAGATTTTCTCCATTTTGGCGCTAGTGATTTTCCTTCTAAAAATCCTTTTAAAAAGTGCTTCAAAATCGTCTTTTTTTCGCTCTGGCGTCGAGATCCGGTTTTGGAGCTACAATTTCCGACGCCGTTGCGCGTAGTTCTCTTGTGTTTTGCAACTCAGTCTCCGCAGATCGCATTGTAATGGCTGCGTGAAGGTTGCTTCATGCTGTGGCTGCATGCGTAATACTATTGTCTTTTGCAGCTGGACTTCGTAAATCGTATTGGAGTGGCTGCATGAAGGCTGCGACAGTGATTTGTCAGCAAATTTTCTCCATTTTGGCGCTAGTGATTTTCCTTCTAAAAATCCTTTTAAAAAGTGCCGGTTTTGAAGCTACAATTTCCGACGCCGTTGCGCGTAGTTCTATTGTGTTTTGCAACTCAGTCTCTGCAGATCGCATTGTAATGGCTGCGTCGAGGTTGCTTCGTGCTGTGGCTGCATTCGTAATACTATTGTCTTTTGCAGCTGGATCTCGTAAATCGTCTTGGAGTGGCTGCATGAAGGCTGCGAAATGGATTTGTTAGCAGATTTTCTCCATTTTGGCACTAGAGTTTTTTTGTTGCACGTAGGTTTAGAGCAGTGTGAAGTGTGGGGCGTAAAGAGTGCAGTGTGAAGTGTGAAGTGTGAAGGAAGCAGTGGGAAGTGAGAAGTGTGAAGTGTGGAGTGTGAAGTTTAAGTTTGGAGTGCGAAGAGCGCAGTGTGAAGTGTGAAGTGTGAAGTGTGGAGTGTGAAGTGCGAAGTGAGAAGTGTGAAGTTTGGAGTGTGAAGTTTGGAGTGGGAAGGAAGCAGTGAGAAGTGAGAAGTGTGAAGTGTGGACTGTGAAGTGTGGAGTGTGAAGTGCGAAGTGAGAAGTGTGAAGTTTGGAGTGTGAAGGAAGCAGTGAGAAGTGTGAAGTGAGAAGTGTGAAGTGTGGACTGTGAAGTGTGGAGTTTGAAGTGCGAAGTGAGAAGTGTGAAGTTTGGAGTGTGAAGGAAGCAGTGAGAAGTGAGAAGTGTGAAATGTGGAGTGTGAAGTGTGAAGTGTGAAGTGCGAAGTGAGAAGTGTGGACTGTGAAGTGTGAAGTGTGAAGTGCGGACTGTGAAGTGTGAAGTGTGAAGTGTGGACTGTGAAGTGTGAAGTGTGCAGTGTGAAGTGTGAGGTTTGGAGTGTGAAGGAAGCAGTGAGAAGTGAGAAGTGTGGAGTGTGGAGTGTGAACTTTGAAGTTTGGAGTGCGAAGAGTGCAGTGTGCAGTGTGAGGTGTGGAGTGTCGAGGGAAGGACACGGTCGGGACAGGTTGTCTTTGAACTATAGGTCATTTATGTTTGGGAAACTTCCGCCGCCGGCTTGCCCGGGTCTATGTTAGGTAGTATGAGTGAAAAATTCCTTGAAACTACCTGAAGAACAATGCCAAGTTGCCAGGCTCCAGCCTGGCTTACTTCGCCTCTCCTCTGAAACCATGTGCCACCATGGCTTTGTGCAGTGGCAACGCTGTCGCCAATCTTCAGTGCATCCGTGGTATTGGCCCCTTGGGTTTTCAAGATGACTTGTGATTCTGCTGAAATGGAGCTCACTTGGCTCAGGTGTGGGGAAGAACGACATGGGTCGTACGATCATTAAACTAGGATATCCATGGATATCCCGGGCCAACACGCAAGTAACCTGTCATTAGAACATTATCTATTCCAGGCAGCACAAGATATTTGGCTTTCAGGAGGATCAGTCTGCTCTGCATGGCAGTATGTTTCCGTGGTTTGAGCTGCAATGTCGAGGCGTCGTTTTTTAATGCGGCGTTCCATATCGTTCCATGTTTTTTTCATGTTTGTGTGCAACGTTTTGAGGCTAACAACTCAGCAAACATCCCAAGTTGGAGGTCTTCAAGGCATCCCACTGGTCCTCGATGGACATCCAGAACGTTCCACCTGGCAGCATTTCACCAGGCTCGAGGAAACATGAAGCAATCATCCAATAGCTGCCAGGCTCAATAATTTAATCATAAATCAATGTGCAGCCAGAATCATTCAGAAGCGTTGTGATCATTGTGGAATGACTCGGCATGACCAAGGACCCAATCTCAATGGCAATATCAGTCAAGTATCCCACAAAGGATCCTGTGTGATGCAGGAACTGTGCAGGCTCAAGCCTCAAAATAGACACAAGTGACTGCAGTGAACTGCAGTGGCCAAAGGATCTTTTCTGGTCTTCTCCGTGATGACCTCAAGCGCTCAGCCACCCGGCAGCCATGTCACTGAACTTGTCCCAAGCAACTGCCAGCTGGTTCGAAATGAAGAGCATCAGCATAGCCAAGCCGGCAGCACATGATCACTCTCGGCATATTTCGAGGCTGGACACCATTATCAGAGCCGCCCTTTTTTTTGCCTGCTGCTACTGTGGCTGGCAAGTACTGCTGCTAGCAAAAAACTCTCACCTTTATGGAAGGGAGATAGGATTTTGCCATATTTTGCCTCTGACGGCAATTCTGCCGGAACAAGTTGGTACAATGCCATCTTCAACCTTGATTTTTTCGAACTGCTGAGGGGCAAATTCCCACAAGGCCATGTAGCAGCATGGAAGGCACCAAAACGCCCCACTCTGCACATGGAGAAGAAATTCCTGGAGTGAGGCTTGGCCAAGTGGCCGTTGGAAGAGCGCCTCGTAATGTGCCATTTGGGCACCACTGAAGCCCGTTGCAAGCATTGGCCCTTGGGGGATGGAAGAGAAAACACGCCCAGAATTCACAAGAATTCAAGCAATTCTCTGAATTGAAACCTGTCCGAGACTACTGAACAATCATCTGCTCACAACAAGGTTTCGTTTCAGATTTCAAAGTGTTTGCTAAATTGCTAAATCGCACTCTTAAGACCTGTGGATTGGACGGAGTCCTGAAGCTGGCTCTTTTTTCAATCTCTGGCTGCTTAATGCTCTTGGTTTTTTTGGTGTATGTTCACGTGCAGTAGATTTGACCTGGAATGTCCTGGAATGTCATGAAAGAATGACGATGTACTGACATTTGCCTAAATTCCGATGCGGCTTCAACTTCCCCGGCTATGTGCAACCAAAACATGAACTTGTTTAATTGGGAACATGCACGTTACTGCATTTGAGTCTCTCTATCTCTCTCTAACGCCATCTCTCCGGAGATGATTTTTTGTGTACGTATGTATAAGTATGATCAGAAATATAACTATAAATATATTATGATATGTACATGGTACATGTACATGGTACATGTATATGATATATTATATAGCATATGTGTATGATATACGTATATGATATGTATATATATATGATAAATGTGGATGACATGTATAATATGCGTATAATACATGTGTGTGTGATACGATGCCATGTATGTATGTGATATATTATTATGTAAATGATATGATATAAGTATATGACAATATGATGTATGATGTATGTAAACAAAGATGTATGATATATGATATATGTATATAATGTGCATGTAGATGATATGCATGTAGATGATATGCATGTAGATGATATGTATGTATGTATGTATGTATGTATGTATGGTATGGTATGGTATGGTATGGTATGGTATGGTATGGTATGGTATGGTATGTTAGGTATGTTAGGTATGTTAGGTATGTTATGTATCTTATGTATGTTATGTATGTTATGTATGTTATGTATGTTATGTATGTTATGTATGTTATGTATGTTATGTATGTTATGTATGTTATGTATGTTATGTATGCTACGTATGTTACGTATGTTACGTAATGTTACGTAATGTTACGTATGTTACGTATGTTACGTATGTTACGTATGTTACGTATGTTACGTATGTTACGTATGTTACGTATGTTACGTACGTTACGTACGTTACGTACGTTACGTACGTTACGTACGTTACGTACGTTACGTATGTTATGTATGTTATTGTATGTATGTATGTATGTATGCATGCATGCATGTATGTATGTATGCATGTATGTATGTATGTATGTATGTAATGTGCATGTAGATGATATGCATGTAGATGATTTGCATGTATGTATGTATGTATGTATGTACGTACGTACGTACGTACGTATGTATGTATGTATGTATGTATATAATGTGCATGTAGATGATATGCATGTAGATGATATGCATGTAGATGATATGCATGTAGATGATTTGTATGTATGTATGTATGTATGTTTGTTTGTTTGTATGTATGTATGTATGTTTGTTTGTATGTATGTATGTATGTATTTATGTATGTCTGCATTGCTCTTTTATGTACCATCAATACAGCCATTACCTGCTATCAAAAGCTCCATGCTGACTCAATGCTGACTGTAAATCCTACTCCACCTTCATGGGTTTGTGAGATTTTTTGATGAAAACCACTTCAGAACTCCATGCGAGCAACTGTTGGTAAGAGCGCGTAAACTTCGGAGAAACTTCATCTGCAACATATTTGAGCCAGATTCAACCTTGCCAAAGCAAAGTTAAATTCCCATGTACTGTGAAGGTCCATGTGTCCGTGCGGCACCAAAGCGGACATCTTGAGGATGCAGGGACCGCCCTGCTCCACGCACAGGCCGGACTGGAACGACTCGTCACATGCAGAGTTGCTGTTTAGCCACGTCATAGCGTGCTTGCAACATGAACGAATAAAGACACCGCTGTCCGAATACTGAAAGTTGAAGTTTGTCTCCCTGCAGTCCAGTACCTCTTCCCCTGTGCTAGTGATGAGCACATGGGGACAACCATATAATCTCTATCTCCATCTCTCTCTCTCTCTCTCTCTCTCTCTTGCTCTGGGTATGGTATATTATAGTTAATCATAAATTATCTCGTGCCAAAAGCATTCACAGATCTTTGAAAACTGATGATCAATGGTTTTATAGTTTTATATCTCTCTGTTCCAAAGTTCCAAATCGTGTAAAACCTTTGAACTGCATGCCTGTCCTGACCTGCAAGAGTGTCCGTGGTTGAAATCAGTTCTATGCACGCTCACTATGAGATCCTTTCCTCCAGTCAAGATCTGATAGGAGAACCATGCTCTGTGCCATCTTGCTGATTCTGTGCCGCGGCGATCCCTCGGGGCAAAATGCAGCTGCAGTTGGGTGTGCTGAAAGCGAAAAAACTGGAAGAGGCCATGTCCATGTCGGCAGTGCCAAAATGCAACGTGATGGCGAATAAACCCTTAAGGTGTCTTATGGTCTCGTACTTTTCCATGCTTGAGGATATTTGGGGTGTCTCTACTTAGTCTCTACCTCAATATCGTGCGGAATATTCATTCAACTTCAATACAGGCTGGAAAATTCAAGCCAAGACTCCAAACCAGAGCCTGAGGAGTTGTCCTGCAAAGTACAGGCTTCCTTTCAAACCGATGCAACACAAAATTATAGACGCTGACTGAGTCTGTTGCTGTTTCTTGATCGCATGCATTTCAGTTGAAGGTCAATGCCCTGTAGGAATCCCGTCGCTACCAATTGGCATATATAGACTAGGTAGACAAAGAACATTGATAAACATTGAACATTGAGGTTAGCACATCACTACCGTCACAGTCATTTTTGAAAATTGAGGCAAGGATTCATCAATGTTCATTAAATCATGTATCGTTGATCATTTACGATAGTGCGATGAAGGAGGCCGCTGAGACTCTGAGACACCTGTTGCCGCCACCGAACACATCCAACCCTTCTCAGCAAACTTTGCACAAAACTCCAGGCATCTCCTTGTCTGCGTCAGCATCTCTGGTTGGTGAGGGATCCGGTGTCCGGTATCCGCGATTCAAACTCTTCAGCTTTACGGCTTTTCGCACATCCTCAAACGCCACCTGGCAACACTGGCATTGGAATTTCCAAGGAAGGGCTTATCCAAAATGGCGAATGAAAAGCATGTAGGTCTTTGTGTGCGAGCCATCCAGAAAGACTTCCAAGATCTTCCAAGCACTTGACCCATTCATTGCCTTTAATAGCCACCCATTGGCCGAGCCTGACGCTGCACCTTCCACTCCATGTGCAGTTTTGCCTGGGAATGCGCAGACTGTGTCCACCAGTAAGCACATAATGAATGAGCATTTATACATATATGTATATATACATATCTATACATATTTATCTATCCTTATAAGTTACAAAAGAATACAAAAGAACTCGGCTCAAGGCCAAATCCTAAAGAACGTTTGTCCAAGTCGAGTGCTTTGCTTGTCCGCTTTTGCAGCCCCCTGCCTTGCTGAGTAATCTTTGCATAGTAGGATGGGGTGCAGCCTGTTCGTCAAATGGACAAACCCATGGTTGCCACATGCGGATTGATTCAAAAAGAGAGGCCTCTTGGAAGGCCTCTTGGAAGGATTCCTAAAGAGAGGCCTCTTGGAAGGATTGTTTATGGATCCTGGCCTCTGCAGGTTTCTGCACCATGGCTGCACTGACACTGGGAGAAGACCTTTCGGCAGCCCATTCTGGCTTCCTGCTGGCAATTTATCGTGGCCAGGACTTCAAAAACAAGTTGGGGTTTAGAATCACCATCCAGTAGATGGCTCGAGGCTATCGAGAGCGAGATTAGAATGAGATTAGACCACCTCTCCACCTCTCCGCTTCGGATAATTGGACACTGATCATTAGAAAGTGCCATTTGCCTCCGTGACTTTCTCATCACCGCACCGCGCCTGTTGAGTGCTTCCAAGAGCGTGGCACGATCGTCAATGGGAAAAAAGAGCTTCTCACTGTTTGATCGATTCAATGCTTGCAGCGCCTGGCGTTTCAGATGTTTCAGAGGGAGCGATCATAGCGATCAGTCAGAGAAATAGAAATGGGGACTGGTCACGAGTGGTCAATGGCAACGGGATGCAAGGCTTGATGCAAGGGCCGCAAGGGCCACAAGGGCGGTGGATCTTGTTCTTGCTCCCAGCGGCATGTCCAATTCAACTTCGGCACTTTAGTATCTTGAGTGGTCTTTTGTCAAACCAGTCTTAAAATGTCTTAAGATGTCTTAAGCATGTTGCTGTTCCTGGCTCGTTCAATCTCTCACATCATCTCACATCGCACGAATTTTGATGTTGTGGCCTCATTGTCCTGCTTCATGATGCTGGCCATATCTTTCTGCGAGATGATATTATCACGGTCGATATCAAATGCCGCAAACACGTCCGCAACATCCGCTTCATGAATCCTTGGCAAATGTTGCAAACAGACTTTGCAACCTTTGTGGATGGCTCAAGGGATGGGAACGTAAGTGGGCCCACTAGCCAGCAAGGTAGCCGCTGCCAGCTGGCCGGAAGAACGCAAGGCTACATTGAACTTATTCAAACCTGGCATCGTTTGTTGCTACATCAACTGATCGTCTCCAGCTAGGGCTAGCTCTGCTTCATTTATTCCAACTGATTCCAACTGAGTCCAACGCATTCTGGATTCCAACCCCGCTGATTGCGGATTTGGCGCGGGATTCGCCCGGCAGCGATCATGGCACCCAGAAACTCAAAGAAATGCAGTCGTCCATCACCGGTGCGGTCCAGGGCACCAATCGCCCGGAAGGAGTCCCTGCAAGAAACAAGCACACGCTTGAAATGAACATGCAGGCCTTCAAGAAAACCAATGACAGGATAATAACGGATAATATGGTCCTATAATTTTCCTAGACATGTTATATATCAAATTAGACATGTGTATATATATATAAATATATATCGTAAATATATATAGAGAGGGAGAACATGAGATATGGTCAGAGGGGATGCATGGTCAAAAACCACTGTAGTGGCTCATTGTGGACCCTCACCCTAAAAATGCTCCCCCCCTAAGAAAGGAGCTGCAACATGACCAAGCGGCATGGCCACGTGTGTTTTGCCATTGGAAGGGGACTTACTCTCTGCTTGCGCCACGGCCTCCTGCCGAAGAAGAGGAGGATTCAATGATTCAATTCTGGTTCATTGATGATTTGACAATCCAACTAATATCAAGCAATGATATGACCAGCATAATAGGAGGGGGATGGTTGGATGATAATAGTTATGAGTGAGTTACCAGTCATCATCTGCATCATTTTTGTCATTGTTTCGAATGTTTTGTGTGACTACGACCAACATCGACCAACTCTTCACCCTTCGACGATGCTTAAAACTTCATGCTTATCTGATTCGACTGGCAGCAGCAAGCTTCTCTGAGAGAGCATGGGCGAAACATTCAATTTGTGTGCCTTCCTTTGGAGCAAAGGGTGACACACTTCTTGTGCGTTCACATATTTCTGGGCAATCGATGTGTCTTTTGTGTGATTTCCCTAAGCGTGCACCGTGCTCTTCTCCTCGTACCTGAAACTCGATCAAGTGTGTATGTAATTTGCATCATCTTGCATCCAAGCACCAACAAGGTTCGCAAACGGAAACTATCAATCCCAAGTGTAGACAATACACACACATATATATATATATTATTGTTATATGTATGTGCATATATATATGTGTGTGTATGTATGTGTGTATGTGTGTATGTGTGTATGTGTGTATGTATGTATGTATGCATGCATGCATGCATGCATGTATGTATGTATGTATGCATGCATGCATGCATGCATGCATGTATGTATGTATGTATGTATGATTATGTATGATTATTTATGATTATGTATGTATGTATGTATGTATGTGTGTATGTGTGTATGTGTGTATGTATGTATGTATGTATGTATGTATGCATGTATGTATGTATGTATGTATGTATGTGTGTATGTGTGTATGTATGTATGTATGTATGTATGTATGTATGTATGTATGTATGTATGTATGTATGCATGTATGTATGTATGTATGTATGTATATAATGCAAGAAATGTCATCTGTTTGCCCAGATCTCTCTCTCTCTCCCTCTAGGCTTAGTTGCAACGCTTCTTTGAGGCGCCCTGATCAACCTCTCTCCTCAAAGGCAGCCACGAGTTTGCTGATGGACAAAGCACCCTTTGGTGCCAGCGTCTCTAGGCATTCCAAGGCCATGAAATAGTCCTTTGACGCAGGGGGGTGTGACACGCCTGCTACGTGATGGCACCCTTCGCCCTGGCACCTTGTATTCTGTCCATGACTCAGGAGACAAGTAGATTGTTGACGCCAAAGAGCCTCAGAAAAAAGTGGGAAACGTCACAAACAGTTGCCGTCTATGCTATGAGCTATGAAGAAGGAATCGTTTCCCGCTCCTCCGAATTTTGGCTTTGTATAGCTGCTAGCCTACTAGCCTGAGAGTGAGGGATCAAAAAAAATATTCCGGATCAAAAAAATTAAAACACTGGTACCAGTAGTACCGCACAAGGAGGCGGCGGAAGTTTCAAAAATAGGAAACCTATGGGAGAGGTTGGGTGTTGTGAATCACGGATGGCAGAGCGAATCCACTGATGGACCGAAAGGTTGTTGAGGTCTCCTCTCTTTCTCTCACTTTCTCTCACTTTCTCTCTCTTTCTCTCTCTTTCTCTCTCTTTCTCTCTCTTTCTCTCTCTTTCTCTGACTATCTACCTACCTACCTACCTACCTACCTACCTACCTACCTACCTGTCTACCTACCTACCGATCTATCTTTCTATCTTTCTTTTCTTCTTTCTTTCTTTCTTTCTTTCTTTCTTTCTTTCTTTCTTTCTTTTTTTCTTTCTTTCTTTCTTTCTTTCTTTCTTTCTTTCTTTCTTTCTTTCTTTCTTTCTTTCTTTCTTTCTTTTTCTTTCTTTCTGTTCGTTTTTTCTTTTCTTTTCTTGTCGTTTCTTTTCTTGTCGTTTCTTTTCTTTTCTTTCTTTCTTTTCTGTCTATCTATCTATCTATCCATCCATCTATCTATCTATCTGTCTATCTATCTGTCTATCTATCTATCTGTCTATCTATCTGTCTATCCTATCCTATCCTATCCTACCCTATTCTATCCTATCCTATCCTATCCTATCCATCTATCTCATTTAATTATCTCTCTGTCTGTCTGTCTATCTGTCTGTCTATCTGCAAGCTTGAAACCAAAGCTATTTTGCGAGACTTCCTGAGTTTTTTCCCTTGAAAACATCAAAAACGCAGCAATTCTGCGAGACTCTGCGAGACGTCCTCAATTTTGGAACTTGACAACATCAAAAACGCAGCAAATCTGCGAGACGTCCTCATTTTCAATTCTGCGATACTTCCTCATTTTTCGGAATTGACAACATCAAAAACAAAACAATTCTGCGATACTTCCTCATTTTCCGAAGTTGACAACATCAAAAACAAAACAATTCTGCGAGACTTCTTTCCAAAATGGCAAGTTTGAGTGCAGAGCTGACGGCCTCGTACCAATGTGTTTTGCGATTTTTCCAGTCCACCAGTCTAAAGTACTGCGCCTGCCACGAAAAAGTGATGCCAGGTCATGCGAAGTTCTGCACCTGTCACGCAAAACCATCTCAGCAAACCTGAAGATCTGATGCTCCCAAATGCAACCCCTCTCAGGGAATCAGCGCCCGGACCTCCTAAGATAAACATTGTACTGCGCCTGACACGGAAAATGCATCTTTGCAGATCCTCTTCAAATGTCCCACGCCTGCCATCGTTTTTGGAAATGCTACAAAACCCCTACGGTTTGCTCACTTTTGACAATGTGCACAATCCCTTGCGCCTGCCACGCGAAACGACATCTGAACGTCCAAAAGTGCTCCGTACCCCTCAGTTTTTTGCACTTTTGACTTCGAAATGTGCTTCGCGCCACAACGGCGTGCACTTTTTCGACATCTCAACTTCCAAAGTGGTCCGACGCTGAGGTGCTTTGTACATTTTGACTTCGAAATCTGCTTCGCGCCACAACGGCGTGCAATTTTTCATCTCTCATCTGGCAAGCTGGCTCCGCACCTGCGCTTTAGCGACCCTCCTTTTCGACCCTCCGGAGCCACAAATCATTGGAAAAACACCGTGTTTCGCGACTTTGCTACCTTTTCGCGCACCTGGATCTTCTTTCTTCTGAGACTTTCTCTTTTTTGATCTTCTTTCTTCTTCTCTTCTCTTCTCTTCTTTGACTCTTACCACCTCTGCTTTTCATCTGTCCATATTGTCGGAAGTTTGACTTCTAAACTTCCTTCGATCAAAAAAACTATTTCCTACAGACATATATTTCAATGGTGGGCTGGATATTTTTTATCCATAATAATTCTTTTTTGATCAGGCAATGGGGGGGATCGAAATGCTCGAGCTCGCCACTCGAAGGCATCAAAAAAAACTGTCATTCTAGCCGGGGAAATAGACTTTGATGTGGGTCCAGATTGCCACTTGGAGCAGTTATCCAAAATATGAATCCATTTCGGGTTGGTTTAGGATTCATTGATGGTTGTTTTAGGGGTTTTTAGGGTCTATTTGGGGTTGGTTTAAGGTTTTTTGAGGGGTCGGTTTAGGGTCCGTTTAAAGTTTGTCTACGGTTACTTTAGGGTTGGATTAGGTTTATTTAGGGATCGGTGCGTGCATGTAAATAGTTATAAATATGCATATCCAGATCTATCTCTATATATATATATATATACACACTTATATTTGATACTATATGATCATATACACAGGGCAAGGGATCAACAAAATGTTCTGGGATCAAAAATGGTCCCAAGAGATCAAGAAACATTATGTATATATATATGATATTATATTTTATGTTATATGATATTATATGTGAATAATATTATAGATCATGTATATACATATATATATATAAATTTATGGACATATATTATATAATTAGTTACTTGTGTATATATATATATATGTATGTAGAGAGAGAGAGAGAAAGACAAAAACATATACACACATATAAAATCATAAAGAACATATCTAAACACATGGAAAAACATGTATATATATATATATGCAGAGAAGCGTATAGCAAGCGCGCAAAATTGGACTTGAATAAAAAAGCGGGAGGGGGGCTTGAGGGGAGGGCGCAGCGCCTCCCCCCAAAGCAGAATGACAATACCTGTTTTCATGCTGTAGTTTGAATATGGTACTCAATGTGTTTATAATGCCGAACATGCCCCTTATGAGCATGTAGAATGTAGGCTGGAGATGGTTGAGGCACCACGGTATTGGGTGAAAAACGGCGCAAATATATAGTTTCATTGCATGTTATGACAGTGTCGGTTTAGGATTTGTTTAAGGTTGGTTTAAGGTTTATCTAGGGTTGGCTTTGGGGCTCTTTAGGCTTGGTTTGGGGTTTCTTTAGGTTTGGTTTTGTTCAGGGTGTTTGTAAAGTTGGCTCAAGGTTCTTGTTCAAGGTTGGTTTAGGATCCAGTTGAAGTTGGTTTAAGGTTGGTTGCAGGGTTTCTTTAGGGATAAAATATGTGCATATAAAATATGTAAAGTACCTAAAAATATGTGCAATGTGTAAGCATAAATATGTTTATATGTATAACATTTTTATGTAAATATGTGAATATGATTATATGATATTCCCTCCCTCCTTCCTTCCCTCCCTCCCTCTCTCCTTCCTTCCCTCCTTCCTTCCTTCCCTCCTTCTTTCCTATTCTTTTCATATAATATATATATAATTTTCTTTTGATCCGGAATGATTTTTTTTGACCCATAACCCACTAGCTGACATGTTTGTATCTATTTCTTCTGAACTTGAACAAATACTCTTGGATAATGTTGGCTTGCACGTGGCAGCAGGGGCAGCAAATTCCCCATTGCTACTTTAATCTCCAAGAAATCTGCCCACCAAGGGGTTGAATCCAGTCAGGTCTCCACAAATATGTGCCAAAGCAGTACAATTAGCCATTCGTGCCCCGGCAAAGCATAGGTCCTCCAAGCGCGAGCATTTGGACTAGGCGATTTAACATTCCAACTGTTCCAACTATCTATATATATATATACATGTAACGAGCTCATCAACACTGAGTCCATCTGACGCAGTATTTCAGGAGTCAAGTGCTTTGATGCAATTTTTTGGAAGCATGACGAGCTTTGCAAACCAAAAAGGGCCTATCATCATCAGCCATGCTATGTGATGAGAAGACAACGCTCCCAATATAGAGAAGGGCATGGGCACGGGCCATGGGCATATATGTGTAATTGATATTGTACAGAACATATATTCGCATACTCGCTACAGAATACACTTATGTGTATAAATATTTTGTCTATACATGCATCAATCCCCAGGGAAAAAAAAAACATATAGAAATAAATCCTAACAAACTAGTGGTGCATTACTTGTATGTCTTTTCCGGGGTTGCTTTAAACATACTATCACTATGATATATATATAATTATATATATATACTTGTGTTTTCAATTGTAATTAGCGGCCATATATATATGTTATGTATATATATATACACCCGATAATACCCGCAAATGTCGGGGAGATGCCACACCCTTGATTCGTGACTTGACGTCGGTAGTCATGCCCCTCTGGTTCCTTGAGGACTGGCCCAAGGGACATCAAAGGCATTTGTGCTGAGGCCACCTGGCAACATCTGGAAGAGGATGCCACTGCGGAGCTAAACTTATTTTGATATGTGTTTATTAATTGTTTATATTTATATGATTTTATATGATTTTATATAGTGATATTTGTTGCAGGATTCCGCTCACCCCCTCGAAAAAGATAGAAACGTTATTCCCTACAATTTTGATGAGACACATAGAGGCCCCTACAGGTGAACCGACTGGCACCCGCAGGTTTGCGGGCGCACTTTTCTTCAGACGGGTTCTCTTAGAGACCACACTCAGAGACAAAACTTCGATGACAAGTACAAGGAGTTAGGGCCATGGATCCCATGGATCAGGATGGGTCATAGCCCCTCCATGGGCCATGGATGGCCATGGATGGCCATGGGAGCCACACTGCCTGACAGAGCCAGGGATGCATCTGAACTCCTGCGGCCGTCAGCCTGGGCTCAGCAGCATCGTGCTCATGTCATCCATAACCTATATAGCCTATACTCATAATTTACTTGGTTTCAAACATGAAGCAGCTACCGTCCTGAATCCTCATGACAAATCCAAGCAGCCGCTTCTCTGGGTCCCGGTGCATACATCTTTGGATCAAGTCCTGTGGTCCATGATGCTACGATGTAATTGGTTGAAGGCACGTTGTACACTAGCTCCAAGTTGAGTTTTGATTGAACAATAGTAATTAAGAAAATGAGATGCACCTGTATCTGTACATGATGTGCATGTTTCATAAGTAAGTTCCTTCAAATTGCAAAAATGAGCGTAAATACAATCTATACAACTCATATGCCTGTGTATAATTGTGTATATACAATTCGGTATGCCGGCCCTTGGAAGGTGCACAAACGTGTGTAATTAAGCTCCTCAACACAAGAGGTCGAACCACGTTTCTTCCATGCTAACACCAGTCTCCTTGCACACAGTGGAGACGTTTTCCCAGCGAGGACCGACAAAAGCATCTGCCAAAGGATCATCGCAGTACTTAAAGTTGGCGATGTTCCTGAGTTATCTGAGTTCAAGAGTTCCGTGCTGAGTCGTGCTGCCCTATCATATTGAATTCATATTGAGCATTCCAGGTTCTGGGCCCTTCATCCGGTAAGATGTCAATTGTTCACATTGTGGCTTTCATTTTTTCGATCTGTGGTCCAGAATCAGATCCTCAACAAAAAAAGGTCCGTCGCACCTCCCGCCACTATGCCACTATGCCAAGTATCCAAATCACATCTGCGTGGTTTTTGCCATTGAAGGGTGGCATGCCACTCACCAACATGTAGATCAAAACGCCAAGAGCCCATACGTCCACCTCTTGTGCATAGCCGTCGCCTTTACAAATAGTGCCATTTTTGAGGCCAATGATCTCCTGAGATGCCGTGCCAGTGCCACAATCCATCATGAGGTATTCCTTATCATGGCTATATGAACCCCTAGTGGATAGAGAACCATTTCCCAGTATATCCGCCGACCCCTGCCGCCAGCAGGGGGAGCGCGTTAGAGGAGGACTGACTAGGGGCTGTCGCCCGCAAGCCCGGCCCGTCCTTCAGGACCGTCCTTTTTGAGACTGGCGAAGGCGCCGTTTTTGAATGTTTGTGACGGCCGGAAAGGGCGCGTTTTTGAAGGTTTGACGGCTGGAAGAGAGCTTGTTTTCTTGTAGGTTCAGAAAGCAACGTTAGGCAGTGGGAGCCGGCGCCCGGAGGCTCGGTCCGTCCTTCAGGGCCCTGCTGTTTTGCTGTGGCGAGGGCGCCGTTTGTGAGCCTTGACGGCTGGAAGAGAGCTAGTTTGGAAGCCGTTGCCTGGAGGCTCGGTCCGTCCTTCAGGGCCCTGCTGTTTTGCTGTGGCGAGGGCGCCGTTTGTGAGCCTTGACGGCTGGAAGAGAGCTAGTTTTCTTGTAGGTTCAGAAAGCATCGTTAGGCAGTGGGAGCCGTTGCCCGGAGGCTCGGTCCGTCCTTCAGGGCCCTGCTGTTTGGGCGTGGCGGAGGCGCCGTTTGTGAGCCTTGACGGCTGGAAGAGAGCTAGTTTGGGAGCCGTTGCCCGGAGGCTCGGTCCGTCCTTCAGGGCCCTGCTGTTTTGCTGTGGCGAGGGCGCCGTTTGTGAGCCTTGACGGCTGGAAGAGAGCTAGTTTTCTTGTAGGTTCAGAAAGCAACGTTAGGCAGTGGGAGCTGTTGCCCGGAGGCTCGGTCCGTCCTTCAGGGCCCTGCTGTTTTGCTGTGGCGTGGGCGCCGTTTGTGAACCTTGACGGCGCGTTTTTGAAGGGTTGACGGCTGGAAGAGAGCTTGTTTTCTTGTAGGTTCAGATAGCAACGGTAGGCGTGGGGAGCCGTTGCCCGGAGGCTCGTCCCGTCCTTCAGCCACTGCTTTTTGCTGTGGCGAGGGCCGCCTGATTTGTAGCTTGACGGCTGGAAGAGAAGCTGTTTGGGTAGCCGTTGCCCGGAGCTCGGTCCGATCCTTCAGGCGCCTGCTGTTTTTGCTTTGGCCGAGGGCGCCGTTTGTGACCTTGACGGCTGGAAGAGAGCTAAGTTTTCTGTAGGGTTCAGAAGCTCCTCGCCCTCCCCCCCAAAACGTTAGGCAGCTAGTTTGGGAGCCGTTGCCCGGAGGCTCGGTCCGTCCTTCAGGGCCCTGCTGTTTTGCTGTGGCGAGGGCGCCGTTTGTGAGCCTTGACGGCTGGGAGAGAGCTAGTTTTCTTGTAGGTTCCGAAAGCAACGTTAGGCAGTGGGAGCCGTTGCCCGGAGGCTCGGTCCGTCCTTCAGGGCCCTGCTGTTTTGCTGTGGCGAGGGCGCCGTTTGTGAACCTTGACGGCTGGAAGAGAGCTAGTTTGGGAGCCGTTGCCTGGAGGCTCGGTCCGTCCTTCAGGGCCCTGCTGTTTTGCTGTGGCGAGGGCGTCGTTTGTGAGCCTTGACGGCTGGAAGAGAGCTATAGCTATAGTTTTCTTGCAGGTTCAGAAAGCAACGTTAGGCAGTGGGAGCCGTTGCCCGGAGGCTCCGTCCGTCCTTCAGGGCCCTGCTGTTTTGCTGTGGCGAGGGCGCCGTTTGTGAGCCTTGACGGCTGGAAGAGAGCTAGTTTTCTTGTAGGTTCAGAAAGCAACGTTAGGCCGTGGGAGCCGTTGCCCGGAGGCTCGGTCCGTCCTTCAGGGCCCTGCTGTTTTGCTGTGGCGAGGGCGCCGTTTGTGAGCCTTGACGGCTGGAAGAGAGCTAGTTTTCTTGTAGGTTCAGGAAGCAACGTTAGGCAGTGGGAGCCGTTGCCCGGAGGCTCGGTCCGTCCTTCAGGGCCCTGCTGTTTTGCTGTGGCGAGGGCGCCGTTTGTGAACCTTGACGGCTGGAAGAGAGCTAGTTTGGGAGCCGTTGCCCGGAGGCTGGGTCCGTCCTTCAGGGCCCTGCTGTTTTGCTGTGGCGAGGGCGCCGTTTGTGAGCCTTGACAGCTGGAAGAAAGCTAGTTTTCTTGCAGGTTCAGAAAGCAACGTTAGGCAGTGCGAGCCGTTGCCCGGAGGCTCGGTCCGTCCTTCAGGGCCCTGCTGTTTTGCTGTGGCGAGGGCGTCGTTTGTGAGCCTTGACGGCTGGAAGAGAGCTATAGCTATAGTTTTCTTGTAGGTTCAGAAAGCAACGTTAGGCACTGGGGGCCGTTGCCCGGAGGCTCGGTCCGTCCTTCAGGGCCCTGCTGTTTTGCTGTGGCGAGGGCGCCGTTTGTGAGCGTTGACAGCTGGAAGAGAGCTAGTTTTCTTGCAGGTTCAGAAAGCAACGTTAGGCAGTGGGAGCCGTTGCCCGGAGGGTTCCATCAACTATGCACGTGCCAGTGGTTGGTGGAACACTGCTTTCCGTTGGGAGTGCGATGAGTTACTTGAATTCGGCCGGAAGCTTTTGTTGAATGCACCACCGCGCTGCATGTCGGACACGTGTGCGTATGCGTGCGACCTGCAAGCAAGCCATTTGCAACGCGAAATTTGTGGCCGCAACCATCACCTCGGCGGTGATCGATTTGTCCTGTTGCCACTTTGCTTTGCACAGATTTGGCGCAGTGTGGGCAGATGTATGTGTACAGTTGTGGCGTAACCGTGTCAGGCCCGACAGCAAGCGGCTGGTTCGATGAGTGGGCAGTGTCCGTTTTGGGAGCTTCTGCTCGCGTGGAAGTTTGTCTTGCTTCGTGTATTTCCTGAATTTCCTTGCGAACGTCCTCTAGGATTGCTGCGTGACGGTGGCGGGTTTCGCGTTGGCGCAAGCGGGCCAGGCGTTGATTCGTGCGATGAGCAAGACGGCAAACGAAGGCAAAGGCTGTGCATGCGTTGCATACTTGTGTGCCGTCTTGAGTATATTCACGCTAACCTGCCTGGGGTCGGCGGCAGGGGGCGTAGCCCCTTAATTAATGTGGGATAATGCGAGTCTATAATCCAACTTTTTGACAGATTTGAATGATGCAAACATGATGTAACCGACTGTTCTGTCTTGTCTTCAAGCGAATGGCTGGAGCAACATAGTAGCAAGTGCCGCACATCTGCGTCAGCTTTCTCGTTCTGCCTGCTGGCCAGGGATGTCACTTTGAGGCACACCAGCATCCACAAGCAGGATCTGACTTTAAAGCAAATGGCCCAATCTGCAATGTGGCAAGCCCAACTTTAGTCAATTAGATAACCTATATTTGAGGATGGTACCACCCATGTCTAGTGAAATTGGTGATGATACATTTTTGGATTTACCCATGGTTTACTCATGGTTTTACCATGGTAAACACCACATCATCAGCCAACCCGGTCCCCCGGTCCCCCCATCCCGCCTTCGCTGTGGCCTTCGCTGCCCACAATTCGTGTGGCCAGGCCAAAGTCGATCAGCTTCAGTCGCTCCTGCGCTGGGGAAGCGAAGACCCAATTCTCCAGCCTCGGCGCGCCATGGCATAGCAGGGCACAAGGAAAACTGCCAGGAAAACACACAGGAAGTGGATGGAAATGGATGGAAATGGATGGAAATGGATGGAAATCTGGGAAAATCTGGAGTGAATCAGCGAAACAATGCAGGTGAATGCAGGCATTTGAAACTTCCAGGGCAAAGAGTGAGTGCAACACAGTCAGTGCAATCCTGAGTAGTCCTGAGTCTCGGGTTATGCAAAAAATGAACCCGTCCTTTTTATATTCTGAACCATGGTGATCGGACAAACATACGAACAAAAACAATTCCGGTTCATTCTGTCAGTCTTTTGACACGTTGACCGGCCGCTGGCCTTTGGACTACCATAGGTCATAGAAAATCAGTCCATTCAGTGTCTGCAGTAGTTCATATAGTTCATGTTTTGTTGCTTACAACAGCGGTCAATGTTTTGTGTCTCTACTGCCGCATTTTTTGGATCAGGGAACTTGATATCTCGATGTACGATGCCCATGCTGTGAATGTAGCGAATCGCTGCAGCCATCTGCTTCACCAACACTGCGATGCGGGCCTCGGTATCCAACATTGAGGCGCCCTCACGCTTCACTGAGGATGTTCCCGCTGCTAACTCGAAGAGTTCACCTGCCCAGTTTCCATCGCTGATGGGTGGTTCATGGTGGTTCAACATGTTTCAACCCACTCCAAAATATGTTTGTCACTTGAGACTTGAGATTTAGTTATCTGAAATGCTGGTGAAACATGGTTAATTAAAATGAAAAAAATCGGAAATCACCAACTAAATGGGGCATATGGTATGCCAAATGAATGTCGCGCAAATGGCATATGTTTGAACGTCGATTTTGGGGCAGCTATTATTTTGACACATACCAACATGCTGCAGCTGCAAATAGATCCAAACAGCCATCTCTATGGTGTGGGCCAAAATCTCTACCCAAAATTGAGATAAATTGAGTACGTGGTATATTATATGATATTATATGTAGGGTCTGTAGGGTCCTTGAGGATTGTAGGTACCTTGATCCATGAGCAGACTTCATTGAAAATTGCAGAACGTGAAAAAAGTGCACGGATGAAAGCACTGAAGACAGGGGATCAAGCATGCCCTGGTACTGCCTCCAGCGCAAAGCTCCATGCAAATCCAGATTTCGCCATTCTTTTCTACAAAGGCCTCACGCCGTGCCACAGCTTGTTCGATGCAAACCTTCTGCGGTGCTGGGTTCCAAAATCTGCCATCAAATGGTTGCGTTGGAAATTCCTAAGTTCTGTCCTGCTAATAAATAGAGAGCCCAGCAAATGTGTCCACAACTATTGCTGTGCTTGTGCTAGGTGCTACTCAATAGCATGCTTGGCTGTGCTCCAAGCAAACCCTCTCGTTCGCTGGCCTGTAGCAATCTGCAAACGTTTGGATGTGACAGGCGCAAATAAAGGCCCACCTCCGTGCTTCAAGAAGACAACCCTGTAGGAGGGAAGGCAATGCATGTCAAACATTGTCAAACACTCATTCATACAGATTCATACATATTATATAATAATCTCCTATCCTGCTCTCACCCTACAGGACCTCAAAGGATATTAGATGATCAAGGCTGTACCAGGTATCATCATGTCAAATGTATCATTATCACCACTCTCAAAGCCATCATGACATCGGCACCTCCTCTGGCAGCGAAGTCTCCGCTGCCTCCAGGCACTTTGCGGCCACGCGGCGTCCACTGATGCGGTGCTTGGCCACCAGCACAGCGCCGTGCATTCCGGTGCCCAGCACCTCCTCCTTGCCTTCCTGACCAATGGATCTGAAATGATCTGAAAACCGGAAACATCAGGAAACTGGTTACCACATGTTACCACCAAATTGTATCGATTTGTTGGGAGCTTTCAACATGTTTCAACCGGTTAAACTTTCCATGATCCAGTTCTGGGACTGTAATGATGAGATTTGCACACCATGGACATGGAAGAAGCTGGTGATGCGCATGGAGATACAGGAACTGAATGGAACCAGTTTCTATAGCCTCTGGTTATGGGAGATATGGACGATATAGATATCTTACGATACGTTCACTTAGACCAAGGAGATCCAAGGAGAAACAATTCGGAAGCACCAACGCAATGACCAAGCCGTGGTGAACACCATCCATTGACTTCAAAACTGCCCCCCGTGCCCTGCAATGTCCTTGCCGATGCTGTAGATATCCTCAGTTGTCCAATTCAAACATCCAATTTGGCCTGATATCACTACCAATGACTGTAGCACCTTTGCAGGGGGCATCATGTTTGCCCAATCGCTCAAGAAAGAGACTCCCTAGGAACGTGGTTAAAGCGGCAAACCCATGCTAAGTTAGCAACATCCAGAAGACCGTAGGCTCTTGTGGGCTCGTTTTCTTCATCCTTTTCGAGGACTGTTTTGGCGGTGCAAACAAGCATCGTAAAAGGAGATGTGTCTCAATACTTTCGACTGAATGGCCAGCGGCAGCTCTAACTCCTGGCCAAGTCGCTGCAGCTGAACGTCTAGTCAATCCACCCTGGATGTCAAATGTAATTTGATGTGGTAAACCCCAATCGTAAATCCACAATTCTTCATGACATGTTCATACCTACCTACCCCATTTCTGGTGATATTGGCGATGGTTCAATTACGTATTGACTTTACCGACTTTGCCGGCCGCATTAGTATAAGTTACTTGGCAAGAAATCTACAGACAAGGTCTTGAACACTGCTCAATTGCATTTATGACAGTGCTAAATGACGTTGAGATACGTTGAGCTACTGGTTGGACATTTCCTGACATTTCCATGGACGTGGGAAGCTTCAGGAAGTTGGGCTACTCCGAAATTTCATGATCTCCTCAGCGCGAGGCTCCCAAGACTCATCGACACCAGAGGAGTGTGTCACGTTGCTCGCTGGCGTTCCCGCGAAGGACGTCATGGTACTGACCAAGACGTTCTTTACCTTGGAGACATTTGGAGACCAAACCAAACAACATGACACCCAGGAATACTATGGAAATCTATGGAATGTTGGTACATGTTGGTACATGTTGGTACATTATGCACACAGTCACACAGTGTCTCTTTTTCATTATTTTTCACATTTATATGATACTGCGATGTGCAGTATCAAATGCGCATCCGCGATTCTGAAACACACAAACAGGGAAACCCCTCATTCCACTACGACATGCCCAACAGAGGAATGACAACTCACCCTTCCAAGCGAAGTGCCCAAAGTTTGTGTCACTGGCTCTGGCATCCAAGCCACGCTAACACCCATGCCTGACACATTGGAGATGATGTTTTGACAGCTCACTGCTTTGGCCCATTGCCGTTTCCGCAATAGTCGACGCATTCCCCAAAACAGCAGAGCCGCTGCCACACTTGAGGCCTTGGCCAATCGTCATCAACTTTCATCAGCTACGAAGGATCATCACCGTAGACAAACCGGTCATGCAGCAAGGATTTTTTCTTGATGATTCTTGCATGCGAGGCACTGCAAACTTTCCTGTCATCCTTCGAAGTAGTACGGCAAGCGACGTCTGCTGCTTCTGCATGGCACTGAGAACGAGTTCGTATATGTTCTCCTTTTAAAGAGTGGGCTAAGTCTCTGCACCAGTTCTTCGGCACCTAGCAACCTGACACTTCAAAGAAATCTGCCATGCAAACACAATGCAGGTGACTCACTGGAACACCAATGACCTTGTCATGACTCTTGTTGAATGCCCGTGAAGCCTGATAAGTGGAGGCCTATTTGATCCTAAAGCGACTAGCTGGGTGGGCTGGGCCTCCCCTGAAAAACGCCTCTACATGGTGCCTACATGCCCGAATGATTGCAATGCGAACCTCTTCGGCAGTAGCACAACTCTCCAAGAGACCCAGGAGTTCCGAGTTCAACCAAGGATGCCTTCCTGAGAAAATTAAGGGTATCGTCGTGTAGTGAATTTGCCAGCATCTACCTATCGGATCCTATCGGTTGTTCAATGAATGCTTACCCCTCTGTCACTGTGGCACCCGTCGCTGTCTGCGCCGTCTACGCTATGCAGCCTTGCTTTGCAGCATACGCCATTTTCCTTTCCAGACGTTCAGTCATGTTATGGGCACGCCGCCCAGTTGTCACAACCCCGTGGCCTTCTGGCCATCCAGCAGTAGGCTATCACAGGTCGCTGGCCATTTGGTTCATTGCGTTTTTTGTAAGGATATGATGATATGACAGGGCAATGCAAGTCAGGTCGAAGACATGAATGAAACATAGATAATGAAACCAACATAATTCAATATAATTCATAAACCTTACACATCCTTACACCATGACCTGTGACCATTTCATCCTCGTTCAAGCTTCAACCTCTGCTGACCTGGCAACTTCGGACTGATGTGGGGTTGGCCGCCTGGCCAGCTCCAGGCCCTCCCAGGAGAAATGATCAAAATTGGAAGCTTCGTTTGCCATCATCTTGGTGGCAACCGGCAAAATTTTGGCACGCTTGCCTAGTGGATTTGACAATTCATCAGGATTCACACCGGTGTGCCAATCATGGTCTGCATCGTGCGTCAATAAACCAATCCGCTTCACATTCAGTGTTTCATAGTCATAGTGTTTCTATGTGTTTCTCATCAGTGACCCTCTGTGACCCACGACAGGAGACAAGATACAGGCATGATATTGGGGATATATGGGGTTCGTGCATAGGCACAAAGAATGCAAGGGCAGCTGTTGCTGCGAAGAACTGCAACGGGCTGGCAACGCTCAGAAACGATGGACTGAGCGACTTGGCACCGCCCAAGGCCACAGAAAAAAAAATAACGTTGAGTTTCTTCTCGAAAATGGATGAAAACTGATGAAACTCACAACTGGGCGTGGCAATCAGCCTGCAGAAAAAAAGGTAAGATAGACTCTGGCAAATGCAACCAATGGGTGTGACGTAGATGTCTGGTTCAAACAGCGTCACATGTTGAAAATTTCTCTACAACTCTCCGATTCATGAGCTGATTGAACTGCCGTCCGTGTCCTCGCAACTGGGTGCACTACCAAGGTGGTGGTTCAAGCTGGATGGTGAAATGAAGTCATGCCGTGAATGCACCTATCTCTCTCTCTCTCTCTCTCCCTCCATCGTCTTCAGGTCTCCCTAGCTGTGCAGCGGCGAGATGGAAGGTATCCATGGACTATGGTTTTCTGGAATTTATTCGCTGACTCTTGGCTCTTGCCTCACTCCTACCAGCTTGGGCATAGTTACTATTGAATTCATCAAACGCTTCAAACAGCAGGGTGGCAAGGATCAAGCAGAAAAACAGGACACAAATTCCAGCCCAGAAGTTCTATATACATGACAAGCCTTTGCTCATTCGACTCCAAGTTAAGTTTAAGGTCCTCCAAAGCTCACCAACTATTTGGCAGTAGCTCTGGGCAATGGTGGGTAGGTCACCAAGACAACCAAGCACAACAGCCTCGGCTGAGAAACCGCGCTCCCAGAAGGGTAGGTAGTCTGCGCCACTGCTTCAGTAGGGGCCAAGGAATCTCCCACTCAGGGCCCAAGAATTCGTATTGAAGCCAGAATTCACAATATCATCTGCATCAATCTGCCCGATCCTGCGATGAGGTCGGACACTTGAGGACTTTCATCCTGATCCAACCAAGTGGCACCATGGCGGGCATCAATGGTGTGATTGCCAAAAGGCACAGTGGCGCCACCCAGTCAGGAACTGGCTTTGGTTGTGGCACACCTCCGCACAACTTGCCACAACCAAGGAAGCCGAAAACCAGTTATATCAGTTATTACCAGTTTGCCATGTTTTTCTGCCAACAAAATCCCATCGTCCCATTGTGTGAAGCAGTGAAGATCTTGTAAGCCCGCCTGTCACAGGATCAACATTTGTGCCCACCTTGGCACTCGGGAAGTCTCACTCCCCACTTGTCGCAAAGAGGTGTGGGGACAAGCCTATGGACACATAAAATCACCATGACATAGATCACTTCTCTCTCTCTCTCTCTCTCTCTCTGTCCCTCCCTCTCTCTCTCCCTCCCTCCCTCCCTCCCTCCCTCCATCGCTTGTGGTTTAAAAAAAAAAAAAACAATTAGCGGGGATTCGGTCAAAAACACGCGTTCTATCTACTCCAGGATGACTAATTATACCACATGATGTGTAGACAGTTGTTGCTATCCATCGTGACCATGCTCTGAATATGCAATGTTGAGTAAGTTCAGTTTCGCAGGGAGCCGCGACTGCATGGTTTCTCACAATGCAGGCAGGTCACAATCTGGTCCACTCCAGGGCAGCACACATTGTAGTTCCCATGAGAGCCCACGGCACGATGATGACCTTTCCATAGGACAAAAGTACTACACCTTCACATCAACGACATCAACGACATAAAACCCCCACACGGACATACATGTCGACACGGCCTCCCTGTCAATGCAAATGATACTATATGATACTATATGATACAATATGATACAATATGATATAATATGATATAATATAATATAATATGATATAATATCATACAAATTTCAACCGCCTGCGTGGTTCTCTCGCAAGAAGTTGAAGAGTGCGGAGTCTCTGAAGGCCTTCAGCACCCAGCTTGGAGCACCCACCTGACATCAAACCAGGATCTGACTGGGGGATCTCACTGCGTTTGTCGTTGCCATGCCTCTAGCGGGACATCAGGCAAGCCGTGCATGTGCGGATGAAGAGCCTTGGATTGAATTTGGTATATTAGGGCTCTAGCATGCTCTCATCAGCATTCTGAGAGGCTTCTGGTGCCTTCGAGTCAACAGAACCCTATGGATGCTGGTGCACATGATGGACATGATAACACAGCTGAAGGTTGCAAGCAGAGCACTCTCCTAGATCAAAGAAACTTCAACTCTCCAAGGCACATTCCAAAGAAGGGCATGGAACAGCATTGCAGACACCACCACTGGTACAATCACCTTGTGCGCAAAGAACGTGGGAAACTTGCGATTGGGGCTCCTTTGGGATCTCAATGGATTTGGGATTTTGAACTGCACCAGCCTGCACCTGCGTCAGGCAATTTCCATGAGCCTACAACTGACATATGTTGACCCCACCCTTCCAACCACAACCCCTGCCTGCGCGGACCAGCCAGGAAAGTAAGCGTAGGGAAAGCCAACAGACTTGGCACAAAGTAGCTTCAAATCCAAAAATCCACAGATCCAAATCATGATGGTCATCATCATCATCATCATCCTCCTCCTCCTCCTTCTTCTTCTTCTGCTCATCTTTATCCAGCATTGCAGTGCATTAAGCTCTAGAACTCCATAGGAAGGCTGGCACACATGTCCAAATCCAAACTCTGGATCTGTGCGGCCCAAATGCAAGACGCCAATAAACATCTTCAAAGTACCATGCCATGGGAAGCTGGTACCTGTCCAAGACACCCAGCACCCAGCTGCTGGGGATCAAAGCGGATCATCATTGTTCAATATTATTCATCTTCATTCACCATGTTATGATTGCATATTAAATAGGTGTGTATATAAACATATACACATAATATATACCCTATGGTAAATTAACATAGACCCTGGCAGATAGGGGTTGAAAGACTAGTTTCCATTAAAAATTGGTGATTTTCGGGGTCTATGTTTATTTACCAGAGGGTATATATATATATACACTCTCGCATATTATATAATATATACTGCAGAAAAAAATATTCATATTTACTCATGATACTGCAGCTGGTCCCCAGCCCCGGCACCGCGGAAAGGATCGATATCCAGGACCAGCTCGCGGCCAGGCTCGACGTCCAAGGTCATGTCGTCCAGCGTCTCCTGAAGAGCTATGGCCCTATGGCCATGTTTTGGAGATGGTGGATATATGTGGATATATCATGGATGATAACAATATATAACAATGAAATCATACTGGATTTATTCATGATAGATTAACAATTCTAATGGATTATGAATGATTATGATATATCATGAAAATGGAGTAAGCATGGGTAATGGATTAGTGATAATGGATGTTTCATAGATTATTAGTGATTATTAATGGAGTATTATGTAATGGATTGCGGAGAAAAAACAACTATTGCTGGTATACGTTGATACTATTCAAACCATTATTGCCTATATCAAGGAACCAAGACTCAACATTTGCATCGAGCACATCCAAGTTCAATATTGAAAAACATAACCATCTTGATCTGAAATTAGCTGCTTAGCTTGAAACTCTCGGAAGGACTGCTCCCGGGATCATTACTTTGATCCTAGCAAATGCAAATACTGCTCACGTGGCAATGTTTTTTCTGCTTGTTCGCCCCGGTCCCGATGGTGCTCCACATGTCCATCACCTTGAAAGGTGTTGAGCTTGAATGTCTTTCTGACGGTACGTACCTGATGTGAAAATGCATTGAAAATGAAATGCGCAGTGCACTTTACTCATCATCCACTTTCAAGATCTTTGAGCACTAAGAAGGGTTTTGCCAATGGTTTTGCCCCAGTTTTGCCATGCTTTCCTGCTTTCAGCCAAGGAGCTGCGCCCACCTTGTTCAAGCCTGGTCCCCAAAGACCCAACTCGCCAGTTGCTGGAGCTGTCTTCCCCACCCGAGCAAGGCATGTGCTTGGTTCTAATGCTGTCAAGTGATGGCTTCGTAGACTAATGTCAACTAGCTTCTTGCTTCAAAGATTTCAAAGTCTGGTAGTGGCACAAGGATGCACAAGGTAGGTTAACATAGGTTAACTGAATCGAAAACGCAGTTGAGCAGCCCAAATGTTGGAAGTATCGGTGATAGACGTACTCAGCCATGGACCTTGTCTTGTCATGTCTTGTCCAGTTTTCGACGAGGATTTGCGTGAACAGGATATGTGGCCAAGTGGCCAAGCAAGCATGTCCAAGTATTACGGCTCCCAGAGTCCCGTTCTAGGACTCAAACATGATGGCATAGAGGGCTGCAAGTCCTACCACAGTTTCGGCCATTCCAATTGGAAGATCCAAAGCGCTCGACGAGGAGGAGGATTCCCAAGCTGCCTCATTCAAGCTGAATGTCATGACGTCTCCATGCGGAACAAAGGCAGAAACGGCAGCAAATGTAAGGCCTTGGATATCGAAAGTTATCGAAATCATTCTCTTTCTTCTGGTGGGAAACTGGAGGAAAAAAAAGCTGAATGGCTATCCTGCATCGAAGGACCCAACCATGAGTACACTAAAGCAGATGTATTTTCTCATTTTTTGGCCTGTAGAATTTGTCCGGTGCAGCTGTCAAGGCACCCCGTCAAATGCTCGCACAGCAGTCGCAGAAGACCCACGGCCAGGATTCACACCTAGTCGATCCGTTTGCGCCGTGCGAATCGTGCGGGTAGCGCTGAGCCTGCACTCAAATTTCAGGGCCAAATGGATCCAAATGGCGTCATTGAAAAATTAAGACCCCGAATGACCCCGAGATTGCAAAAAAACTTGCATGGATTTGGAAGTTGCGGGAAGTTGGTGGAGGTGGAAGTTGCATCAGGGTTCAACTGGTTCAACCATGTTCAACCAACAGGAACCGTTACAATAGCCGTTACAGTGTCGCCCAGTAACCAGCCAACCCACTGACACCGCACCTCCCTGCAGCACCGCCAGGCACCACGAAGTCGCTGGCAAGGCGGTAAGTGAGCCCCTGAGGTTTTCGAATCAGTGGCAACATCTGGCAACCAGCAGTCACTGGTTGGTTCAACATGGTTCAACCTGGTCAAAAAAAACACCGGTCACCAAGCAAGTCACCACGAGGTCACCAAGGAAGTCACCAATGTACTGAGTTGAAGAATGCGGTAGAGTAGTTTCTTGACTGCATCATTGGTGATGATGAGTGAATCTGCACCAGGTTCGGTGGACCAACCAAGCAAAAAAGTTGCCCTGCCTAGTTCGGCCTGTCTTCATGTTTATTCTTTATGATCTTTATGCTTATGGTCATGAGGGATCATATGTTTCCAGAAATCCAGCAGAGTTGCCACCAGAAGCAAGGCAAAGCATCTCCTGCGCCAGGATCTTGAAAGGAAGCAATGTAGCAAATGGATGCAAACTTCTGATTCAACTTGAAACTTCAAAGTAGACACTGCCTTCAGGCATTGAGATGGCTAAAACACCGGTGTCAAATGCAGCATTGGCTGCCAAATAGGCACAACGCTCAAATGGTAAAGATTTCTGTCCAAAGCGCCCCAATCCTGCGAACCATCGCGATAGCGGTACTTGGAGCACGAGAATCTATCTATCTGTGCCGTGGCAAAGCCAATGCTGCAGGGCCAGCACAATGACTGCACTGCACAGGTGTGAAGGGAGGCAATTTTGACTTGCTTGCAAATGTGGACGGGTCAAAATCATCGCACCAAAATGGATGACTTATGATGACTTAAAATACTAAAAATTACCAATTGTGTGGCTCCATTCGTGACCCATACCCGAATTTCAGTTGTGCGCTTCAGACTCAGCCCCCAGCGCCAAGGAAGAAGCAAGTACCAATTTGGCCCTGGATGATGTCCGCAGGCCTTGAAAACAATCCAGCCATCCAGCCACTGCAAGCATCAGCATTTTAGCAGAAGCGCCCTTGGCTGCAACAAATATGCATGCATATACGCGCCAGAGTGCATTTTTACATACATTTACATCATTTACAACGATAATGTGGTGAAAAGACCGAAATTATGGCAACGCAATAGATATCAAAACTATGTATGCAACATGTCTTCTTGCAACACATGTCTGTTCAATGTTATTCGTCCCTGTGATTGCCATTCAACAGTGCATCTAAAATAAGAATCATGACAAAAGCTACTTTCAAACAAAGCGATGAGGGGAAGACTGTTGCTCCTCCCTCACCTTCTCATGGCTGGCATTCTGGCCTGATTCCACCTTTGAACAGTACCAGCTCTTTGATGATGTCAGTGGTGTTTGTAGCCTGCAGATTTGGCCTCATACGAAATTCCACACAGGATGGATCTGGCAAAGGCTCTTGGTAGCATCAGGATTCCTCATGTTCACAGTATTTCACAGTTGTTGCTGCCCAGCCCATTCCACATCATGGCCATATGGGCCATATCTCATGTCACAGTGCGATGGGTTTTGCCTGCAGATGTCTCGCATCCAAATCGGCATTAGAGGCACTGGTACTGGTGACCTGAAAGCTTGGCTGTTTCGAATTCACGGTGAAACGTCTTGGCTTGGCCGCTTGGCCTGTGACATCCGAGATCCCGTGACTCATCTCCTATGATTCCTATGTCAAACCATTCGACTGGCTCAAATGGCTCAGGCTCGACACACATGTCTTATGTGTTGCCAGGCTCTTTGGAGAGCTTCTGCCGACGTCTGTGCCCACCATGGCCATCCAAAGTCTTGGTAAATGTATCCTGGTGTGAGGGAATTCCGTGCCTTCATCTTGAATGCGGCTTGCCTTCCAACACCATCTATGTCAAGTGACCATCTGCCAGGTGCATAGACTATATTCGCAGAAAGGAGAGAGAGAGAGAGAGAGAGTGGGAGAGAATGAGAGAGAATGAGAGAGAATGGGAGAGAATGGGAGAGAATGGGAGAGAATGGAAGAGAATGAGAGAGAATGGGAGAGAATGGGAGAGAATGGGAGAGAATGGCAGAGAATGGGAGAGAATGGGAGGGAATGGGAGAGAATGAGAGAGAATGAGAGAGAATGGGAGAGAATGAGAGAGAATGGGAGAGAATGGGAGAGAATGGGAGAGAATGAGAGAGAATGAGAGAGAATGGGAGGGAATGGGAGAGAATGGGAGAGAATGGGAGAGAATGGGAGAGAATGGGAGAGAATGGGAGAGAATGAGAGAGAATGAGAGAGAATGGGAGAGAATGGGAGAGAATGGGAGAGAATGGGAGAGAATGGGAGAGAATGGGAGAGAATGAGAGAGAGCGAGAGAGAGGGAGAGGGAGAGGTGAAAAACGGGCGAAAAACGGGTGAAAAACAGGTGAACAACGGGTGAAAAACGAACCTACAAACGTGAGGAAAAGTCAGCAGCCATTCCGACTGAAAGCGCACACTTGTTTACACTATTGCTGAGGGCATGCTGCTACACTAGTATCACGGCTCTTCAACTTCGAAACCAACGCATTACCTGCGCTTTGAATCACTTTGAGGCGTCTCAACCCATCTCCTGATGCACTGCCACTGGTGCAGCTTTTCGCAGTAACAAGCGCAGCTCAGGTGGTGCAAAGCTCTGCTGTACCAAATCCAAAGGTGTCTGGCCAAAGGTGTCCCGGAGTGACAGAAGTGCAGGTTGTTGGCGCAGCAACCTGTGGTGGACCCTGTGGACATGGGCAAGTTGGACAAGTTGGACAAGTTGGGCTGGCCGTACAGGCTGTTAGCATGTGTCAGCCCTCAATCATGGCCAAGGGCCATCAGGACACAAAAATATCGTGCAATGTGGCAATGTGGCATTCTTCAAGACCTGTCACATGACTCAAATCGTTGACCTTGGCGTTTCCCCTGACTATGGCCAGTTTCCGGGGACACTGCGGTAACATGGCACTGGGCCAGGAAGCAAATGGCAAAGCTCCAAAATGTTGCCTGCAGCAGCAAGAAAGGCACAGCGGCCCTATTGACATTTCCCAAGTGACCAGAATTATCACAAATGCAAATGCCCCTTCATCCTTAGTCATTTGCCTCTGAAATCATGCGCAGGCGGAATGAAGCAGCATGATTATTCGTTCATATCACTTGTGCGAAGATATGCACATCTCCGTGCACCTCGGCCTGTTCATATTGTATGCCTGATCACGTCCCATTGTCTCCAAACTCCGAACGTCGCTCTTGAGAGAGTCAAATTGCCTAAAAGTGCTTTAGGCACTCTCCCACGAGGCTGCCTGCCCGCAAGTCTCGGGGTCGGCTGGCACCAGCACAGGCATGGTGTAGAGCAGTTCGACCCTGGCTGCACACAAGTTGCGGGTCAGCAGAAGCCTTCAGCAGCACCGCACAGGTAGCCAAGTGCCCCTGGCAATCACAGTGGGACTGAGAGCTTAGGCATTGCACGCGGTAGTGCTAAGATGTGCTAAGGGGCGCTCGGATGAAAACAAGAACGACAAGAAGAAACAAAGAGCTCAACTAAAACATCCAAAACCTCTAAAACTGCAGATAACTGCGGTTCCAGCCTGTCGGCATGCAAGGTGAAGAGGACTCAACAACCGCCGCCCCGCACGCATGTTGGGCCCAGAGGGCAGCCGAACAGCCCGACCATACCGGTTCCAGTGCCTGGGTCAAAGCGAGCTGAGCCCTGAAACAGAAACAAGATGAAACGAGTACATAGTGCCCTGAATCCCTGAATCCCTGAGCATAACTACATCATAACTTCTCATGATTATAATTATAAACTCAGCTATCTTTATATACAGGATCTAGGATTTATATGGATTTATTGTTGGACTGGGATTTAATTACTTCTCATAGAATTGTTTATCTTATATCATTTCAGACTGCTACAAACTCTCAACCAAGTTTTGTCATGTTTTGTCCAAGCGCTGGAAGGCTGGAATCGAAAGATCGTATACATATGTGTATTATGTGTGTCTTCTGTGTACATGTGCGTAAAAGACAGGTTTACAACATACAGTGTATACATTGATAAACGTACATAATCTTAGATCTCTCTCTCTCTCTCTCCCCATCCCCTTCTCACTCGATACACACGATATTGATATTTGAGGATTTACTTGCGCTAGTGTGTATGGTTTGTTTGTTTTCCCAGCATCAGTGGCGGCCACCAACGCCTGGTGCTTCCAACGTGGGTTCTGTGCTGCTGAGCCACTGGTTCACTGAGAATCGAAGGAGCATATCGAGCAGTTGGGCACGGCCCAAAAATGCGGCTTCCTGCCGCATAGGACGCGTGCGGATGCGTGGTTGCGAAGGAATCAATTCTAAAGAAGAGTACAAGAGGCTATGGCCACGATGATACATGGCAAGTTCCAACACAAATGTTTCACGATCACAAGTTCAGGGACATGATTCTGTCTTCTCCAAGTACTTTACTTAGAATAGTGAGACCTACCATTTCCTCTCTTTGGTATCATGCAGTTCGATCAAGAAATGTCTTCGTGCTTTCACCGCCTGACGTGCGTGCGTGTCATCTGGTTTGCTGGTTCAAAGTCCAATGATAATCGCATCAAACCTATAGGACAACTATCACGACGATAAGTGGAACGCAGATATTATGCTGCCACTGATGCTGGTAATGACGCATGTTACTAGTGTTTGTGTG